TTCGATCTTGATACATCTGAACGTGAGCGTGGATAAGTGCGTATGCCAAGTTTTTGTGCGTACGCACCCTCTGTACATGAGGCCCCTGGTGGCCGGAGCATAAACACTAAAAGCAGATTTTTCCAAGCTCAGTTCAGACTTGGGGGACTTGCTGTGAAAGTCAGTCATTAGACTGAATTAAACAAAGGCATGACCCAGAACATTAGCTAAGCACAGACATGATGTAAGATGGCAGCCTTCAAAATAAAGGCCTTATAGATAAACAATAACATCTGCTTAATATGTCTGTCAGATAGAGAGAACCACTTCCAACTCTTTCATATAAGTTGCATAGATGAATACTATAAACATCACAAGTGGCTAACCTAAGGGCAGATTGATAAACACCATCCAAGGTTTTAAGAATGTAGCAATACCTATAAATAACATCACAATAATACAGAACAACGACAAAAACAGCTTCAACTTTTTTGTCCCCCTGCAAAGCATAAACTAATTAGTAATAATTTCATAACTAGATTGGCAAGATGACATTGGAATGTTTTTTTTTCATCTATCTCTTTATTTTGAATCCTTGTTCAGTGGAAACATGAACATTATTGCTGCCATCATCTCTAGCGGCAGAAAACAACAAACAATTTTATTTGCATTCAATAGCCATTTGCCATCATTATGTCCAGCCCTGAGAGCGCTAAATGAATGTTGTAGGCTTTTCAAAGCTTGTTGAACAGATTCAGCAATACAGTACTGTATCATCCATGTGCAATTGTACATAGCACTTCAACCCAGTCTCATGGTAATTCGTTAGTCACAAAATTTAATCTATTATTTTGTGTCCTGGGACACAATTTGCCCGACTTTTTCGTGTTCCCCAGCACAAATGCCAAACCAATACATTTCAATTGGAATTATCTTTCGTGTCTGGGACATGTTTTTTCCCTATCAGACAGCGCATATACTGTGATGTTTTTGTCTTTCTTTTCTTCCGACAGTCGGGCATTAACCAATTTTCCTGTTATGGCCCATCCACACTAATAATTATAGAGATCACTATAAAGATGTGTGTGCACACACTGACCAACGTTAACATTCTGTAAACACCGGTGCTGAGCCGGTACCGTGTGCTCCAGCTGCTATAAGCTATTGATGCCAAAAATGACACCCATGGGTTCCAGTAAGTCAAAACAAAGCTGTCATCGACGAATTTACCCACTATGCTTAACAAAATTATTTTAATTTCATTTTATCTAATTNGAGCACATGTGGGTGACTCAGATCACCTCCAAGGTAAATGTATATTGTGCATTTGTGTAACTCAGATTTATTCATTATATGGCTCATACAATAATCAGGTTCATGTGTAATCTTGCCAGGATATCAAAGAGGAAATCGAAGACTTTGTTTCATGTTTAATTACTCAATTTATTATTTGCCAACAGACAATGAAGCAGTAGACGGCAGTGAGGCGCAGTCCCAGCCTCGTGCCACAGATCCGGGGGATTCCTCCAGCCTCCCCGGCGTCAGCCGATCCTCCGGTCCGCCACAACAGCCAGGTGCTGATGCCCGTCCGACCGGCCGTGTCCTCACCCGCGCTGTGCTGGATTCGCAGGAGGACACCATTCGGGCAATCGGCGGCATAAATGAGCGCTTGGATCAATTAATCAATGTCCTTTCAGACATTAACAAAACATTAAATATACTTGCAAACAAGTAAATTCTGTGTCCTTGCCTTTTTATATGGTTGATACCACATGTTGCCGGGCCTGAATGGCCTCCCGGGCAGGGTTGGCATCGACAAGTACAGCGTCTGGTTCGTCTGGTGGGGGGATGTGCTGCTCTGGCAGTGGGATGTCGTGCCGGTGTGCCATATTGTGAAGGACACCACATGCCATCACAATGCGGCGCACCTTTTCAGGCCTNAATGGATGGATGGATCTATGAACGATGTCGTTGGGATCACTTTCAGAGCAATCTCAGAACAGTTTCCCTCTGCCTGGGTATATATCTTGTATTTTCTATTAATGAATACGGAGCTTATAGCAGCTGGAGCACACGGTACCGGCTCAGCACCGGTATTTGCAGAATGTTAACGTTGGTCAGTGTGTGCGCACTCTTCTTTATAGTGATCTTTATAATTATTAGTGTGGATGGGCCATAACGGGAAAATTGGTTAATGCCTGACTGTCGGAAGAAAAGAAAGACAAAAACATCATAGTATATCTCCCAGACACGAAATATAATTCCAATTGAAATGTATTGGTTTGACATTTGTGCTGGGGAACACGAAAAAGTCGGGCAAATCGTGTCCCAGGACATGAAACAATAGATTAAATTTCGTGACTATTTAACGAATTGCCGTGAGACTGGGTTGAGCACTTAGGTACAAGTGAGACCATAATATTCATAAAATTGTAAAACGAATTCTAAATAAATAACAATCTGGAAGGGTATTGAAGAAGGATGATTGTGTTGCACATTGTGTTGAGTCACTACAAACAAAGAAAAGTTGAACATTTTAGGATATTAAAAACATATTTGAAATATCTGGATGCTTTCTGCTTACCTTCAGTGTAAACTAAATGTATGTTCTGCTCAGTATAATTTCTAAGCATGGAATTTACTGGTTCCACAGCTCATCGAGTGTGCTTATAAATGTTAATGTAGGAGGAGTTTATGTTGCAAAGTAAAGGTTAGATAGGGAATTATAATTCAGGGTTTGCCAGTGTAAAGACTATATAGGATCTGCTTGAGCTCAAAAAAGATTTAATGGGTAGTTATGCTTTCACTCGGCATCATGGACAAGGGCACAAATAGAATTCACATGATGTTGAGTCTGCTGTAGTCAATAACCTGTAAACCAAGGATGGATGGTGAGCTGTTATGGCCATAAAACAAAGAGCCAGTTGTATTGACATGGCCATCCATACTACTCTGCTAACTCTCTGTCAAGTGGAGAGAGAGATTTTTCTGCCTTTATTTCATGTTCCTGCCTTCTATAAAAGCAAGCTGAGTCATGTTAATGCAGACGATTTGATTCTCTGTTTCTTTTTCTCACGTCTTAAAGTAGTTTCATGGACAGTGTTTTTGCATTACATTGCAAAGGCTCAGAGAGTCTTTTAAAGTAACTTAGTGGGGAAAAAACATGTTGGTGTATAAACAAACACAGTGCATAACTTTAAGGAAGAGAAAGCTTTTATTCTTGTGCACTAATATGTAGACATGTTGCATAACTATATATTTTTTCTAGCTCTTTTATCAAATATTATATCCAGTTTCCTCTTAGCTGCATGGATACACTGCTGACATCAAATGCAGGCTAAATGGCCTAAAAGAAAGATATCAAAGGGCCAATAAAACAGTATTTCATAAACCACTGAATCAAGCACGTGTTTGTAATGTGGAAGGTTGACTAGACTGCCATTGAGAATCATCACATGATTCTAAAGCTCCGGCTTTGGATCCCCTTTTGGGTTGTTTTGGTTCATCGCCTGTATGGATGACTTCCAGTGTCAGGAATATTCTGCAGCACAGCCCTAACCCCAGTGCTGTCAGATATCTTTTTGTTCTCAGCCAGTGAGCATTTGATGAGGCTCTCCATTTTATGTGTTCAACCAACTTTAAAGAAACCTGTGTTTACTTTCAGTGCCAGTAGTGTGAGTCAGCATAGGCCAACGACAGACTGATGGCAGCATTAGCATATGGTCTACGATAACTTACCAAGGTTGAGGTGATGAGCTCTACTAAAGAGAGGGCACTCGCTGGCTGTGTTTTATTGACCCGAGGATGGGTTTAAGCTGGTGGAGCAATAGATGTTAGATGTGTCTTTCTTCAGTAGTTGCTCATCTGAAAAAAACTGCCCAAGATATTTTGGCGTCTGTGTTGCTGTTTGACTAGCTAGCTGAAGTTATTAGAGCACATTAGTTTGTGATAATGGGAAGTGTTTAATGTCTCTCTATGCACAATGTGGATAAGGAACACTGATTAGTCTTCTGAAATGTCGCTGGTGAGGTTTGCGGCCATTATTCCACTTTATTTGCCCCACTGTAACTGTAGATTAAAACAAATCCTAACTACATTACAAAAAACTCCCTTATGTTTTGGCCCAGAGCAAGTAGGCTCGACAGCCAACTGGGAAACCATTAAATGTAGTAAGATTATTGGTTAAACCTAAAAAAAGCGTTTCCCTGTTGCTTCTCGACACATGCTTCTTTTGGCTCCAGCTTCGTTTGTACAGTATCTCCTGATGCTATACTGCAAATGCTCCATAAAAATCATGCCAGATGAGACATCTGTTGGAAGTGATACGTATTGATTTTTAATAAGAGACTTCTGCAGCTTTTAAGATATTACTTTCACAATTAGAGCATCAGCATTGAGCCATTAAGTTGAGTGTTGCTTTACACCTACTGTATTTTCATTATTTTGCATTTTGATGATAATGGAGTAAACTATCCTCGGCACTATTTCAGAGTCTTCCCTAAGTGCTCAACTGAGGAGAAGTCTGCTAACTGAAGCATAGTTTATGCTTCATTTCATATCATTTTTGCTCTCATTAAGCCACTTTGTCCACTTGCTCTGGGTAGGAGAGCGTTGCATTTACATGACAAAGCATAAAGAAGAAAAATCATAATACATAACTTTTTTTTCCCCGAGAAATGCTGCAGTTTGTAAGCAATGAATACAGCATGTAACCAGCGTGAATTTCCAACAAGCAATTTCCTAGAAAAACTACTCAGTGTCCTTGAAGTCATCAGAGAATGTGCCGTGAATGGCTTGTATCATGTTCCAAACTGTCAAAGATTAAAACTTCCACTTGTAAAACACGTGTTACTAGAATACAACAATCAAGTCTGCACTTAATGTAAATGAGCTGTTTTCATGTCTGTTAGCTTCCTGACTGAATTGAGTAGCCATCGTTAATGAATGTATAATTCATTCTCCTGTTTTAGCGATTTCAGGCATCTACTGTGAAAACAAAGCTAAAGCCCCAATCTCAGTCTCTATGCTGAGACCAAATCACAAACCCCCCACAGACTCATTGCTGTCCACTGTGTGCCCAACTGGAGTGCTTGAATGCGTGACTTCATGAGGGCTCGATATGGTTTAAGGACAAAGAATGGGACACACCATCATGACAGCACATGTTGCTTGGAAACAATTTGTGACCATTCAAAAGAAAAGGAAAAAGAGCCACATCACCAGCATGTGTTTGACAGTCGGTGCTTGTAACATTGCAGTGTTTATACATTTTAGCAAACTGACAAAAGTCAAGATGTTTGACTGGAAATACACACAACTCTACATACATGCAATAAATAACTACAATAGTGATGCTGTCACTGACAGATAAATGTGCCTCAAAGTCAATGAGTATGTGAATGTGGATATTGGGCTTAGAGGTTCATAGCAAAGCCAACAGCTTGTGATGCCATCTACGCTTGAGCCAAGTACTCACATCCGCATGTTAACAGTGCTTACAATATTAATGCTAGTATTTCATATTAAGCAGATGCAATCTTTTCCATGCTCACTATGTTGGCTTAATGTGTTAATGCTAATTTTAAGTAGTACAAACAAGGCTGTTGGGAATTTCAGTAGTTTTGTAGGTATTTGGCCCCACATCAAAGTGTTGGACAATGTGACTGAGTAAACTGGATTATGCATCATGAGTCCTGCATACGTTTGGGTTTGGGAAACCAAAGGCATTATGACAACAAATGTGCATTGCTGGAGTAGATATTGTCATAAAACAAGTGAAACATATCAGTGGACAATATACTGATGCTCTCAGTATCAGCAGTTTGCAAGATATGTCCATATTGTTTCCTTCTCATGTCAGTAAAAGAAAACAAACAAAAAAAACATGAGCCACGCAGCATTACTTTTCTTTCAAAATATTTGCAAGTCACAGTATTTGCACATAAACATTTAGGGAGACAGGACTTGGAATATCTGTTTTTAACCAATGAAAGAGTTGCAGAGATGTGGATTGCTCTTACTTCCTGGTTTGGTCAGTTTACAATGTGCACCTCAGGGTTTGGGAAGCAGGAAGAAGATTGATATGTTTCATGTGCGGGTAAACATGAAAATAAACATGAAAAAAATGCTACATACTTGAACCTGGCATGTATAGTTTCAATAATTTCTGTGACGGATCGTGCTCGGTGACTGTGACGGCAGATCCACACGAAGGGGGAGACAGGACAGTTTTAGTAAAACGGTTTTATTTTATATGAGGGGAAAAGGGGTTTAACCCAGTGATGGGATCCGGTGCAGGGATGATGACCGTGGAGGGGGAGGAGTGGAGTCTTCGTGTCGGGGTCCAAGGAAGAGGGTCCCAGGGGTGGTGTACGAGGAGCCGGTGCCCGTGAGTGCCGAAGTCCGTGGGGGTTTCTCCCGGTGCGGAGAGGGAACTGTGAAGAGGGAAACCAGGGTGGTGTGCAGGGGTCCGGTGCTCAGGATTCGGTACTCTTAGGTGGTGCTCTCATGAGTGGTTCTCCCGATGAAGGTGCCCGTGGTCGTGAGTCTACGTGCGACCATGGGTGACTTGGGATGGGCAGAGGTCGCAGTAATCCCGCTGGCGGCTGATGGAGGAGGGATTCCCCCCGCGCGCAGATAGTGCATGCCGCCACAAACTCTCTAGTATCCCTAGACATACCAGGCCACCAAAATCGCTGACGCAGAAAACTGAGAGTCCGATGCACTCCAGGGTGACAGGTTCGCTTGGATGAATGCCTCCATTGTAGAACGGCTGACCGGGCCGCAGGTGGAACGAACAGCCGATTTGGGGGTCCCTGTCCGGGGTCGGGGAAAGTCCGTAGAGCCTCTCGCACCACCGACTCAATTTCCCAGGCGGCAGCATCGACAACACAGGAAGAGGGAATTATGGTGGTGGTCTTCAGGGGATCTGCTTGAGAGACTGGAGAGGAAAAGTTTATTCATGACAGAGAATCGGGCTTAGTATTACGGGAGCCTGGGCGACTGAGGAATAGTGCCCATCGGGCTTGGTGGGGATTCAGGCGCCGGGCTGAGCGGAGGTAGGCGAGGTTTTTGTGGTCTGTCCAGATGAGAAAAGGCAGAGTAGAACCTTCTAACCAGTGTCTCCATTCCTGAAGAGCCAGGACCACAGCCAGCAACTCCCGATTTCCAACATCATAGTTTCGCTCTGCCAAACTCAGGCGCCGAGAGAAAAAGGCACAGGGATGCAAAACCTGAGTCGCAGGATTCCTCTGGGAAAGTACCGCTCCCACACCAGTGTCGGAGGCATCCACTTCCACCACGAACTGGAGGGACGGATCCGGGTGTCTGAGAACAGGAGCACTCGTGAACAACTTCTTGAGAGAAAGGAAAGCATCGTTAGCGGCTGGAGACCATTCATAAGGAACTTTTGTGGATGTGAGACTGGTTAAAGGAACCACCACTTTGCTATAATCTCTGATAAAGCGTCTGTAGAAATTAGCAAAACCCAAAAACCTCTGTAACTCTTTGCGAGTGGCGGGTGTAGGCCAATCAATCACAGTCTGAATCTTGGCCGGATCTGGCTGCAACTGGCCGTGAGCGATTACATAACCCAACAAATTGACTGAGGAGACATGGAACTCGCACTTCTCTGGTTTCACATACAGTTTGTTTTCCATCAAGCGTTGTAGCACAAGTCGAACATGCTGGTGGTGTTCCTTTAACGAGCGAGAAAAAATGAGAATGTCATCCAGGTAAATGAATACAAAATGGTTAAGCATGTCCCGAAAAATGTCGTTCATGAGTGTCTGAAAAACTGCAGGAGCAGTTGTGAGGCCAAAAGGGATGACAAGATATTCAAAATGTCCTAGTGGAGTGTTGAACGCAGTTTTCCACTCATCCCCCTCCCGTATTCTGACTAGGTGATATGCGTTGCGAAGATCTAGCTTAGTAAAAACTTGAGTGACAAAGAGGCTCAAAAGATGGATCAATAAGTGGCAAAGGAGTGCAGTTCTTTACCGTTATGTCGTTTAACCCTTGATAATCTATGCAGGGATGGAGAGTGGTATCTTTTTTCTCCACAAAGAAAAATCCGGCTCCCAGGGGAGAAGAGGAGGGACGGATAATCCCCGCTGCCAGAGACTCGTTAATGTAGGTCTCCATCGCGGTCTTCTCCGGCAAGGAGAGCTTGTAGAGACTGCTGGATGGAAGGGAGGCTCCTGGGTGGAGATCAATGGAGCAATCATAAGGGCGGTGAGGAGGAAGAGAGCGGGCTCTCTCTTTACTAAAAACCTGAGCGAGGTCATGGTACTCTTGCGGGACTGATGTGAGATCCGGAGGTGGCAACGGAGGGCTTTCAGGCTTATCTGGAGATGCAGAACGAAGACAGTTAGCATGGCACGCGGTACTCCAACCTGAGACTGAGAAGGTGGCCCAATCAAACTGGGGGTTGTGTAGTTGCAACCAGGGAAGACCCAAAACGACTGGAGCTAACGGAGAAGGGATGAAGTAAAACTGAATGTCTTCTCGGTGGTTGCCTGAAATCACCAGAGACAAAGGAGTAGTGCGGTGGGTGACCCTAGCTATGAGCCTCCCGTCGAGGGCATTTATCTCACGGGGAGGATCTAAAGCCACGAGTGGGGCTTTTATTTGCCGAGCAAAATTATGGTCCAAAAAGTTATCATCGGCTCCCGAATCAACTAAAACATGCACAGGAAAAACTCGAGATGAGAACTGGAGACTAGCAGACATAGAGCCCCGAGAGGGAGAGCTCAAGAGAGAGGAATTTTGGCTCACCAGCGGGCTCTCGGTCACTGGTGAACCCGTCCTTTTAACGTCTCCGGACATTTCACTGCGTAGTGTCCTGCTTGTCCGCAGTACAAGCACAGAGAGCCTTGCATCCTCCGTTCTCTTTCCTCGGGGGTTAGGTGAGTCCGGCCTAACTGCATCGGCTCTTCTGCTGCGACAGGCGACGTCCGGTCCGGGCTGTGATTCGGCACAACTGCAGGTTTGGGGGAAAAGGTGAGTCTCCTGGCCCTAGTCGCTTTTTCTCTTCTTCGCTCCCGTAAACGATTATCGATCTTAATTGCTAATGAAATGAGTGCCTCTAGAGTGTCAGGCATGTCTCGAGATGCTAACTCGTCTTTAAGCTCTTCTGATAAATTGCAAGAAAACAAGGTCATTAATGCCGGCTCATCCCACCCACTCTCAGCTGCCAAAATCCTAAAAGAAATAGAAAAACTCGCCACTGACTGTGACCCTTGCTTGAGATCGAACAATTGACTTAAAGCTTCCCGACCTTTTACTGAATGGTCAAAAACACGGCAGAGTTCGGTGGTGAAGGCTTCATAAGACCTTAACAAAACTGACTTATTCTGCCACAAGGCTGTGGCCCATTGAGCTGCCTGACCTCGTAGCAAGTTTATGCAAAAGGCTAATTTAGCTTTATCAGACGGGTAGCTTAGCGGCTGTAGGTCAAAAACTAATTTACAGTTTAACAAAAACCGACCACAAGAACCTGGCTCTCCGGCGTAAGGCTCGGGAGTGGGGACCTTAGGCTCGCGGCTGGGAAGCGAAGAGGAAGAGGAAGCGGCCTGAGATGGAGTACTCACAGAGGGTTCGGTTGGAGTTCCGGAGCTGGGGTTGGCCAGGCCGTCAAGGCGTGAAGCAATCCCCTGTACGTTGTGCGTCAGGCTTTGGAGAGCGTCCGTCAAACCTTGGAGGAGCTGGTCGTGTTTCCCCAGAAGGACTCCTTGGGCTTTTAGGGCTTCTTTAATGGTGCTGGGGTTCGTGGGATCCATCTTTTTGGCCAGATGATTCTGTGACGGATCGTGCTCTGTGACTGTGACGGCAGATCCACATGAAGGGGGAGACAGGACAGTTTTAGTAAAACGGTTTTATTTTACATGAGGGGAAAAGGGGTTTAACCCAGTGATGGGATCCGGTGCAGGGATGATGACCGTGGAGGGGGAGGAGTGGAGTCTTCGTGCCGGGGTCCAAGGAAGAGGGTCCCAGGGGTGGTGTACGAGGAGCCGGTGCCCGTGAGTGCCGAAGTCCGTGGGGGTTTCTCCCGGTCCGGAGAGGGAACCGTGAAGAGGGAAACCAGGGTGGTGTGCAGGGGTCTGGTGCTCAGGATTCGGTGCTCTTAGGTGGTGCTCTCGTGAGTGGTTCTCCCGATGAAGGTGCCCGTGGTCGTGAGGTCCCATGGGTGAGGAATACTGAGTGCTGGAGCCGAGGAGGAACACTGGAAGCAGGGAAAAACATTTACAATTAACCTGAGACTAGAGAATATCAAAATGCTGGAAATGCTCAGGTAGGTGCAGCAGTTAGCGGCCTGAATATACCACGAGGTAGGTATCACAATCATCTGGCGTCGATCTTCTGTGAAACGCCAGTATTTAAGCAGAGTGAGGCTGATGAGCCGATGAGCCACAGCTGCCAGCATACCGGTGTCCCTCCTGATCGACTCCGCCCAGCCTGCAGTAAACAGAGACACACCCACCACCACACAGAGACAGAACAATCCCAAAAACACAACAAATAATTCACAGCCCTCACAATTACATTCTATTAAGAATTAATTTTAATATTTTTCTTTGAAAGAGAACTCAGTATTCTGGGCCTATTTCTCAAAAGTATTTAAAAAATGAGATCATCCAAGTCTATAGTGTGCATTTGGGATATGATCATTTTTAGCATGAGGACGCTATTGTAATAGTTCTTCTTTTGCTGAATCTGTCTTTGTAGGACTAAACATGTTTGTGCCCAAGGAGAGCTTAGTTTATCTGAAGGAAGCACAGCTTCATGAGAGCAGTATTGCAGTGAAGAGCAAGTCTTGAGCACAAAAGCTCGGTGAAGAGGTGTAAGTATATGATGTTTACCTAATATTTCTGTTTTGGAGAAATTGTCTTTGTAGGACTAAATATTATGATATTATGAGTTTACATGAAGGAGGCACAGCTTAATGAGAACAGCATGGCGGTGATGAGCTAGTCTGGAGCATAAAATGCCGTTTAGTATCAACACTGTTGCTTTTTCATCCTCTACACTGTGGGAAATCATAAATTTGTTTTTAGCTAGCAATGCCTATTGTATTAGAAAATGATAAGAATCCTGACTACATGTATGGGTTTTTAAAAATGAGGCAAAAGCCATTTCTTTAAAAACAGGAAAAATTAACAAATCAACAAATGAAGAAACGTGAGTTTTAGAATATCAGCATGTGAGTTTGGAAAGGCAGATATTTATCCAAACATACACCATCACTAATGTCTATTTTCTTTTATTTTTTGCATTTGTACAATTGCAGACTCCTACAGAGGTGTTAATACCTTTTCAATTATATGCTTTTTGAACTACATCTGCTGAGTCAGTCTATGTCAGTTCAGACAGAATTTCGGAAATATGTTACTGTGCTGTGTCAGATTTTGTTCAGTATCTACTTATTTGTTGTTTGTAGCCTCAAACTAAGTTCTGTAAAATATTTTGGCAGAATTTTGAGATCATCAGATGTTTTAAAACTTGTGATTTATTTATTTTTTTTTGTATTTTCACACTGAAACATCTTACTTGGTAAGCCAGAAAAATAACTCCCACAGCAATGACATTTGGTGAGGACACACAGAATTGTTTTCAGCGCATCCAAATGATTCAGTGGATCAGGGGAGGTCATATTTTTTTTGTATTTATAAGCTGAAATAGAAAAGCATGCAACATTTTCAAACAAGGGTGGTAACAGGGCCCCAGACATTTCCTAAAAGTGTATATATGGGTTTACTCATATTTCCTACTGAAAATCCAGTCTTTTGTCGACATTTCACCAAGTTTGGGGGCCTGTAGCATGAATAAAATTTAATGTATGGCAAATATTGTAAGCTGAGATTTTGTTTTTTTATTTCTATATTTTTGCCACGCAGCCTGTGGTTTGACAGTAGTACAAGTTTTTTCATCTATCTTTGCTCCAGCTACAATGAAGAGAGGAGGACGATGCATGTGTTACATTACAACCAACAGAGCCATATGTGGCTGCTGAGAATTTCCTTTCTGCAATTAAATGAAATGTAAAAAAAATAAATAAATGAAACCTTGGCTTGCCATATTTGCCACACATCAAATTCAATTGATCTTAGAGATTTCAAAACTTGGTGAAATGGTGACCACAGACTGTGTTTCAGTAGGAAATATGGATCCTTCCATATACAGGACATACACTGTTTGAGGCCCCAAATATCACAGGTTTGAAAATTTTGCGATTTTGCAATTTTGAATGCTTCCTCACCACATGTCATGGCTGGGAATAATATTTCTTGAGCTACCGAACCTTTAAATGGCTTCCCAGTTCAAATATTTTATGAAGGTGAAACTACAATAATTTCCAGGTCTAAAAAACAGACAAAATTCTTAAAATTCAGCTAAAATATTTTACAAAACTTAGTTTTGGGTTCCAAATACCAAAATAAGTAAAATACGATCAAATTTGCAATGGCGGAGCGACACCACTGTGTGAAATGACATGAACTGACCCTGCTAATATGTTGCAGGAGTAGCCACATCTCTGCAGGCCTTCCTAGTGGTGACTTAAGTTGAAGCTGAAGTTTTGTGCCACCTTGCTATCACTAACATATATATCAGGCTAATGTCCCAGCAGGTGAATAGTAAGACCTTTCAGCAGAACCTATAGAAATTTTTTATTCTCTCTTGCCCTTTGCTGAGCAATTTGGGAAGACTATTGGAACATGAATGAAGGATTGTCTGCTGTGCCACCACGCTGTTGTTGGCAACTTACATGTCCAAGCAGCTTCAGAGTTTGATAATCAAACTGATTCATAATTTTGTCAGTTGGACTACAAAATGTATATCTGAGATCTAGCTACCATTTCTTTACTTGCATGTATACCTACCCAACAATTAGTATTTGATTCACCAATAGAGAAAAACAAATTGCAGCAGTTTTCTTGGAGACAAAAAAAAAAAAGTGCTTATTCGTTCATCTCTGCAGTAATGTTTTTAAAACCCATTCCCAGGTGTCGTTTTATAACTGGCTACTTTTTAAAAAAGACTTTTCAAACCTTGTGAGAGGTGTGCAGAGTCAAAGACTTGCCACATTCTTTGAAAAGTCATAGAACAAGAGACAGCGAGAGAAACGTGTGTTTGAGAGGTGCTGCTTGATCAGAGCGCTGCACTGCTTGAAGGAAGGAGTGGAGGGATGTCAAACAGCGCAGGCTTGCGTTACAAGGTTTGTCTACTCTTCCTTCCTTCTGGATGATCTGAGCTGAGTAATGACTTTGGACTCCGCGCTGAGTTGTAACGCTGAATAATGAGGTGAGAAATGGAGTCAGAGGGTGAAGTGGTAAGTGCTGACATTGTTGACATTTCATGGCGGTGAATTCACAAACACCTAGGGAATTACTTTGAGCCTTGTGACTCTGTGATGTGTTGGAGATTTAGAGCTTACAGAAATGTGTGGAGGATGGTTTGGCAGTCTCTGTTCGGGTTGTGTATCTTCTCTCTAGGAGCTGTGTCAATTACAATGTAGAATCTTCCCAGTGGATTTTTAAAATACAAGACTGGTAGTGCTAAGAATCGTCAAATCCATGCAGAAATCTACTGAAACGTTGTACCTTTGGGCTTAGATGCAAAGTCTGCAGTTAACATTTCTTTTTATTATCAACCTATGCATTCATATTTTTTAGATTAACAGTTGCCAGAGCCTGAGGTAATGTTTTCAGATGGCTTACTCTGATCACCAGAATCACAAAGATGTTCAATTTACTGTCATGCCAAATGAGGAGAAGCTACAAATGCTTATACTTAAAGAAGTTTTAACACTGTTTACCAATAGGTAACTTTTTTCTTTTTTTTTAGATAAATAATTAATGAGAAAATTAAACAATTAGCTGACTTATTGCCTCAGCACTATTTCACTCAAAACTATAACATATTGTTGTAAATTTTACCCATAAATATATAAATACCCCTGCTATATTTTGCTTTGATAATTGGCCATTAATGTGCTGAATATATGATGCCTACAAACATGAAAAATGGATTACCAAATAAAACAACAAATGCCATGCATTAACATGAATCCTGACCCGAAAGTTGCCTGCATGTCCTTATATAATATTTCCTGAAAAATAGTCTGCTGCCCCAAGAGATAATGTTATTATCACTGCATCCCTTGGTAAAATGTTGTTTATTCCGTTAATTACCATTCCTTCTTTATATGCGGCACTGCAGCTGTGAGGGCTATCTGGCACATGCAGCCAGGCAAAGCCTGTAAAAACCCTTCTGGAAGATTCATAAAAGTATAAACTACAGGCAACTCCTCCTGAGGGCCTCTTAATGGGTCTGTGCCTTTCAGGAAGTGTTAAAATGTAAATTATGGAGAATTTTATATTTCTCAATGACAGCCTGGGGAACAGTGAGAGTCAGATCCAGGGTGGATCCCTATCTCAGCAACAATGTTCCAATAATCTACTTATGCAATTTCCAGTGGCCAGGATATACCTACAATATTGTAACATAAAAGCCACAGGATTGCAATAAAGGAGACACACCTCTTTAAGAATGAGTTGCTGTATGAAGATAGAAAACAATACTAATTCAGTCTCTGGTGGGTTTACAGAGCGACATACTCATTTTTTACATCTTTACAATGGCACCTCCATAATCTCGCAAGTACATTTATAGGCTTTAACAATGCCATAACACTCTGTTTGATTGCCTGGCTTGTCAATGAGCAGAATGACTGACTTAGTTTAGAAACTGCTTTTCGCTGAACCGTTGTGATGTTTGTGAGTGAAAATTAAAGTCCCCCTAGAGATGCATCACTAGTTATCGGTGAAAAAAAAAGCCATCAGCCAGCTGCTCTCACACTGCGAGTGAAGGAAAATGTTGAGTAAAATGTCTCATATATCAATCTAAAGGACTAAGACCAGGTGTTCCCTGCTATGTAACTGGCTACTGCAGTAAATAAGATTAACAAAGAATTCCAACAACAAAACCAGCAGCAAAAAATCTACGTAAATTAGTTTTATCAATAAATAGCCAAATTAATGTAATTTTACTCTTTTTTACATTTGTCTCTGCAACATGCCATTGTATTTGTTGTTGTTGTGATTGTTGTTATTGTTTTTAAATGTTAAGGCATTAAAGAGTATGCATTTAGTTTTACTATAAGATGTAGGCTCATGTATATTTCTTT